AGCTACTATTACTACTTTAATAGCGCTATAACGTACTAGGTCCTCTATCTGTCTATCTACTCTAATCTTTAGCTCTCTAATCCGTCTCTCTAGTATTACTTATACTCTTGTTAGGCGCTAGCCTACTACTAACGCGTACGTAGCCCGAGAGGCCGCCGCTACTATTAGCCTTTAGAAGGCCTCCTTTAACATTGTTCTTAATTACCTAATTGTTATTAGGTCGTTATTAGAGAGGGTCTTAGGGGTACGTAAGAGGGTCTTTGTATTCGCTACCTTTAGCTCTACTACTACTATTGTCGTCGCGATAAGGTCGTAAAAGAGGCGCGACGCCTTATCCTCTTTACCTAGTATTACGTAGGCTTTAATTCTTTGTATAATTTTCTCTGTCTTATCGTCTCTACTACCTCTACTACTCTCTAGCTCCTCGCTATAGCTCTTAGTTAGGGTATAAGAGTACTAGCTCCTACTCGCGAGTAGGTAGTATTAGCTCTGTTTAAGTCTAGCATACCTACTATCTGTTACTATAGGCTCGCCTATAGTCTACTAGCACTTTAGAGGGTATCTAAAGGTACTGATTTTGATTCTATCGTTTGTTTTTAAGTTTTTAAGGTAGTAGGGGGCGTAGACGACCGTCGTAAAAGTTTTTTTCCTTAATTAAGCTAGTTATATTAATAAGGTCCTTAAGAAATTTAACATGACTGATTGTAACCCTAGTTATACCCTTATAGCCTCTAAAATTAAACTAGAGCCAAACAAAGGGTTACTTAACAAAGAGTATGTTAAGTAGTTCTAAAGTGTAATAGGGTCTTTATTATACATAACCCTAGGAACCAGGCCTGATATAGCGTATAGCGTAATTAAGCTGTCTAGATACTTAACTAATCCTAGCTAAGAGTATATTACCGCGGCTAAACGAGTATTACGTTATTTAAAAGCGACAAGAGACTACGGTATTACTTATAGTAATACTATTAATAATAGCTAATACGTTAGTAGCTATTGTGACTTAGACTATACTAGTAATATAGCTACGGCTAAATCAACTAGTAGATATATATTCTTTCTTACTAATAGCCCTATTACCTAGAAGTCTAAATTATAGTCAATAATTACACAAAGTATAACTAAAGCCGAATATATAGCTATTAACTCTGCTACTAAAGAAGCTATGTATATTAAGTAATTATTGACTGAATTAGGGCAATATAGGCAGAAGAAGTTCCTTATATATACTGATAATAACGGCGTGTTACTATTAGCTAAGAACCCTGTGTTTTATAAAAGGTCTAAGCATATAGCCGTTAAATATTACTATATAAGGGATCTAATAGATCAAGGTTTAATTAATCTATTATATATATCTATACAAAATTAGAAATCTAACGGTTTAACAAAGCCGTTAGACAAAATCAAGTTTAAAGAGTTTTTAAGCTATTTAGGGTTTATTAAACTCTAACCCTAGTACTGATTTAGGGGGCGTGTTGTATATTACAACTAAATCAGTACTAGTAGCATTTTAAGGATTAACGTTACCTTATTTACAATTAATCAAATTAGAGTTACCTTAACGTTACCTTAACTCTAATTCGATAAGTTAACGTTACCTTAACTCTAATTTAATAAGTTAACGTTACCTTAACGGCATATCGTTAATCTGATACTAGAACGTTATGCCGAAAGCCGACAATACGCCGACTATTACAAATACTACTATTACGTGATACTATATACGTATTACGTGATAGATTACGTGATTTACGTGTTCTATTACGAATACGCGATATATTACAAATGTTACCTACTGTGTTAGCCGACGTACTACTAACATAGTATAGTGTATTACGTGGCGTATTACGTATTACGTGGCGTATTACGTGGCGTATTACGTGGCGTATTACGTGGCGTATTACGTGGCTCTAGTTAGTAGTTACGATTACGTGATTTTAGTATTGTATTTGATTATATTGTGTGATTTTAGTCAAGTATTAAGTGATTTTAGTGTCTTTACTTACAAATTCATGTACTAGAATATTCTATACTATGCCTAATTAAGTCTAGTAGCCTATTACGACTATTAGGCTTATAGAATAGTATAGAGTATTCTAGAAAACTTAAATCATGTATATAAGGACTCTAGAAAACACTCTAAGTCGTTAAGTTCGTCGTTAATTCAAGTTAATTTAATTTAATTCAATTCGATTCGGTACTCGTTAGCCTAACAGCTATACTACACCTCTTACGCGCCTCTTTTCACTTGTTACGTGTTACACTCACCTGTTACGCGTCCATCCGGCAATACGGCGTTTTATTATAACCTTATTATCTAACAAGTAATATCGACTCTTAGGTAGGGGTGCCTACAAAGGCTTATATTGTTAAGTAGTAAGAGTAGAGGAAAAGGTTAAGCCTTTGTAAACACTCGGTACATAAATGTGATAGATTAGAGAGCCTGTCTATAGGATTAGTAAGGATAGAATCTAAAGGGGTAGGCAGACAATATATACCTGTAGGCTAAAAGCTAAGTAAACGATTCTCGTTACCCTAATAAGTGTCTCTTCCTTTCTTGTATATAAGAATCGGCTCTAACTTAGAATAGAAACTAATTATAACCGTCATGATTTATAAGAGTAACGCCTAATTCGATGCCGCTAACTACAATCTTAAGGGACCTTAATCTTAAAGAAGAGCCTGTCTGTAAGTAAGAACGCATTAGTAAGGATAGAATTAAGGTAAAGAGGTAGACGTAATAAGGGATATATGTACCTATAGATGTTAATAGACAGTAAGAGGTCTTTGTCTAACTTGTGATCTAGAACCTTACGTCGTGACTAAAGTAAAGTAAACGATTCTTGTCGCCCTAATTTAAATGTAGTAGATAAAGATAGATTAAATGTAGTAGATAGAGATAGATTAAATGTAGTAGATAGATTAAAGGTAGTAGATAGATTAAAGGTAGTAGATAGATAGATTATTAAAGGTAGATTTTAAGTACGTAAAGTAAGACCTACCTTACCTACCTACTTACCTGGCTTAAGCTCGCTTAAGCTAAGGTACCTTAGGTAGGTAAGTAAGTAGGTAGGTAAGGTAGGTACCTTACCTTACCCTAGTATATCGACCTCTTACAGACTAAGGTAATAAAGAAAGAGAAGAGAAGAGAAGTAGAATAGAGTTTACCTTATATATCCTTAAGGTAGATTGCTATAAGTAATTACGCAAATGATTTAGAGGCGTTTACTATAGTAAAGGTAAGGTAACTACTACCTTAGGTCTAGATCTTGTCCTAGATATTAAGGCATAAACTTAAGGTCTACCTCCTTACCTACCTTACCTAGGTAGTGTCTACTAAGTTCTAACCTAACTCTAGGACCTTTATCCCTCTTAAGTTAATATAGGCACTATACACGCATCTACTATTATACAGTATAATAGTTTAAAGGCGTCGTACTAATCGTCTAATAGTGTAGAGAGGGCCGCTATTAGTAGAGGCTGATAGTAAAGATAATAGTAAAGATAGTAAAGATAATAGTAAAGTTAATAGTAAAGTTAATAGTAAAGTTAATAGTAAAGTTAAGGATAAACCTAATAAAGTTAATAATAAAGCTACGGCGTATACTAATAAGCGTTAAGAACACATAGCTAATTATATAGCGGATTTAGATAACAGTATCTATAGTAAAGGCAGTATCTACAGTAAAGACAGCGATATTAGTATAGATAAAGCCTTCTCTAATAGTTATAAGATTAACTCTAACCCTCCTAATAGTAATATAAGCGACTTTAATCTATACGACTAGGTAATCATTCTAATACTATGTTACTATAGCTAACTAATATATGTAAACAGAGCGTATTTAATTTAACTAATACTATAGAGCCTGTACCCTACGACCTATATATAGTAGATCTAGATCTTAACAATAAGGATTTGTTAGAATCTATAAAGGAACTACTATCTCGCTATTTATCTTTATCTGCCCTATCTTCCTTATCTAAAACAGAGTTAATTTAGTAACTAACTACAAATAATGTTGTGTTACTCTTTTATCTAGCATTCGGCCTATAGTGTAAGAAGTCATTAGTATTACAGACTGATTACAAGCGCCTACAAGAGGTTTAGGAATTAGGTTAGCGTATAACTACTCTTAGTAATAACGATAAAGCGCTACTAAGTCTGTCTCTTAAGCTTAATACTCTAAAGAGAATAGTCCGAAGTTACCTACTACTACTTCGACTAATACGAAAGCCTATTATAGTACGGATTAACAAGTAACCGACATTTCCTTCTAAAGAAAAGGACTAGTACAAGTAGTAGTAGTAGTAGTAGTAGTTAGTTCTTATCTAAAAGGTATAGTATTACTTAGATCTGACTATTATAGTCCCTACTAATAGTACTAAAGGTATAGTATTACTAGTATGATCTAGTAGATCTTGTTACTAAGATCCTAGCTACTAAAGACCTTACGGATAAGATGTACTTTAGTATAGCACACTACGTTAATTACCTTAAGGAGTTTTAGGAATCAAGAGCCTAGGGATTATTAGCTATAACAACATCTAGAGAGTTTGCTCAAACTATTAATAGATCTATAATTATACTAGGTAATATAATCCGTCTTGTAAGTCTAGTTAAAGAAGGCTTTACTAGAGGTCGAGTTATATTTGTTGGCCGCGACTATTAAAGTAAGGATCGTCGGTTTTAATAGAGAGGGGCTATTATAATTACTGTCTAACTAGTTATATTACCTTAGGAGTTAGTAGTATCTAAATTCGACGATATCTATATAGACGATTAAGAGATAATACTACTTGACACAACATTTAAGGTTCTAGAACACTAGGTTAGTTAGATCCTAGATATCGTTATAGAATAGAGTTATAACCCGACTAATAATAAAGAAGAAGATAACATCTATAACTCTAAACCTAGGTTTTTTATTTACTAGATCCTTAATCTACATACTAGTATTACAAAATCTATTCGCTTTATACATCTAACCTAAGGTAATCTAGAACTCGACTACTATAGTAAAGAGGTACTAGAGGACTTTACGACTACAGACTATATTTCTTGTTTATTACTATTAATCCTGTTTATTAATGACTTTAGCATCTATTGTAATATATACCGAGCGCTAAAGGGTTTTTATGTCACCCTTATATACTTAGATTTTAATAAGCGAAGAAAGCCTTTAAATAAGTTTACCTTAACACTTAGTCCTTATAACGTATCTTTTTAAGAGATTATTACTAACCTTAAACCTAGTATAAAACAACTAGGCGATAGGGCGCTTATTTAGGTTAGTAACTAAGATCTCCTAGTTAAGGCATTTCTGATCGTAATAACTAGTGACATGCTACAAGCTATAGACAACTTAGGGTTTATGTACTATAATGTAGTAAGGGGATGTAGAGCCTGTCTCTATATGTAGTATAAGAGAGGCGATATATACTATAATATAGTAGGTAAGGGAAGGTACTATTACAATACAATATATCTCTAACAGACAGGCTATAGTATTAACAAGACTACTAAAAGAAATCAGTTCTTTAAAGACCTTAGAATAAGAGAAGATCTACTATCTACAGTAGTGCCTATAGTATATAGTTTTAAACTAGGTTTAAGCTGGTTTTAAGCTGGTTTTAAGCTGGTTTTAAGCTGGTTTTAAGCTAGTTTTAAGCTGGTTTTAAGCTAGTTTTAAGCTAATCTTAAACTAGGCTTAAGTTAAGCTTAAGTTAGGCTTGATTTTATGCCCTGTTATAAAGCGTAAAACATTTAAGGGTTTAAGCTAGAAAACTAGCTTAAAACCGGCTTAAAACTAGCTTAAAACTAGCTTAAACCTAGTTTAAACCTAGTTTAAGATTATTTATAGCTTAGGTTTATGTTTACTATAGCTACGTATTTAAGTAATTATAAGTATTAATAAACACTAATATTAACTATCTAAGGTCTAATCTAAAAAGGATCTATAAGGGCAGAAAGGATCTATATAGGCTATAAAGGGCTGTTAAGAGTATTCGTAAAGACAGAGGGCTATTAAGAACAAAGGGGTGTTAAGATCTGTAAAGGTAACAAGAGCTGTTAAGGGTATTTGTAAAGGCAGAGGGCTGTTAAGAGTATTCGTAAAGGCATAGAGGGCTGTCGAGAACAGAGGGCTGTTAAGAACAGAGGGCTGTTAAGAACAGAGGGCTGTCGAGGGTATTCGCGAAGGCAGAGGGCTGTCGAGGGCAACAGAGGGCTGTCGAG